TTTTTTTTTTTTTTTTTTTTTTTTGAGACAGCCTGTTGCCCAGGCTGGAGTGCAGTGGCACCATCTCAGCTCACTGAAACCTCTGCCTCCTGGGTTCAAGTGGTTCTCCAACAGGGAGACAGGACTACAGTCCTGAGTAAGGGGACTACAGGCACGTGCCACCATGCCCAGCTAATTTTTTTTTTGGTGGGGGGGGAGTATTTTCAGTAGAGATGGGGTTTCACCATGTTGGCTAGGGTGGTCTAAAACTCCTGACTTCAAGTGATCCACCTGCCTTCACCTCCAAAGTGCTGGGATTACAGGTGTGAGCCAGGGTACCCGGCCTATTTTTGACTTTTATATTTAAGGTCTATTTTGAACAATTTCTCATTAAGAATGCAATAATATCCTAAGAATAGGTTTTTTTTTTTTTTTTTTTGTCTTTTTTAAGATCATGACCAGAAAACTTTTTATTCTTTGAGAAAACAAATTTAGAGTATAAAATTCCTAAGAAATATTCTAGTAAGTGTTTTGAAAGAAAATAAAATCTGGGTTTGGGGCCATTCCTTTTCATTTAAATTACCATAATTAAATTAATGCTCTATAGGAAATATATCACCCATTTTGTGCTGCTTTGAGCTTAGTTAAATCTTATTAAAATATCCCTTGATTTACCCAACAGATGTGCTCCTAAATAGGTTCCTTGCAAATCAAACTTGTGTAAATCTCACCTAAAACGCACTAGGGGGAGCTCCCCATTTGAAAGAATCCTAAAGCACGCGCTTTTTTCACGCAAGTATTCTTGCAAAAGGATGACTTTCTGACTTATCTGCTAAATTACTTAAATTGTTTCCATTTAACACTCCTTTAAAAACATCATCCTATGCTTATTAACGGCCACCAAGACAACTTTGGCCAAGTTCTATTACTTTTCTTTCACACCTGCTTTTCCCAAGGAAAAATATATACTTCATGATACTAATAGATTTTTAAAGCATGTAATAATCAGCTTTAAATACCACTAGATTTTTATAATTTTAATTGAAAATTGAAAAAATAGAAAACTAGAGGTAAATATACTAATTTTTTCGGGTGAAATGATGCTTTTTGTCTAGTTAGCACATCCTAATTTTTAAAGTACATTTCAAATACATCATCCCATTTAAACTTCTCATCAATTATATATTAAAGGTACAATGGCTTCATTATTGCCAACTTGGAATAAGAAGCAGCAGAGGCTCAGGATAGTATTGTGAATGCCCAATGTTACATAATAATTCAATGGCAAGGCCAAGATTGGGATTCCAATTCTCACATTTCCAGCCACTGCTCTTCTTTTACACAATAAAGATGAGGAAAACACATTTAAGCAGGTTTGACAGTAGACTGCCCTCTCCCCTAACAATAACTATTGAGGCTGAAGAGCTCAGGGATTTGCAGACACCATTCAACGGGGAAAGAGCAGCCTCTTCAACATATGGTGGTGGAGAAACTGAATATCCACATGCAAAAGAATGAAGTTGGATCCTTACCTTATACCATATACAAAAATTAATTCAAACCAGATTAAAGACCTAAACAGAAGATCTAAAGCTATAAAACTCTTAAAACACAGGAGAAAACCTTCAGTGACACTGGATTTAGCAATAATTTTGTGGATGACACCAAAAGCACAGACAATAGAAGTAAAAATACATAAACTGGACTATACCAAAATTAAAAATTTTGTGCATTGAAGAAACAATGGAGTGAAAAGACAAACTACATAATGGGGAAAAAATATTTGTAAATCATATATCTGATAAGGGATTAATACCCAGAAAATATAAAGAAATCCCAAAGATTAAAAAAAAAAAAAAAAAAAATTTTAAATGAGCAAAAGGCTTGAATGGCATTTCTCCAAAAACAGTGTGCAAACGGCTAACAAGCATATGTTGATGCTTAATATAAATAATTATTAGAGAAATGTAAATAAAAACCACAATGAGATACAACCTCATACCCACTAGGATGGCTAATGTCAAAGAAAAATAGAAAATTGTGTTAGTGAGGATATAAAGACAGTGTAACTCTTGTGAACGGTTGGTAGGAATGTAAAATGGTACAGCTGCTATGAAAAACAGTATAGTACTTCCTCAAAAAATTAGAAATGGAATTACAATATGATCCAGCAATTTCATTTCAGGGTATACATCCAAAAGAACTGGAAGCAGGATCTTAAAGATATTTACACACCCATGTTCATTGCAGCATTTTTCACAACAGCCAAGAGGTGGAAGCAAGCCAAGTGACTATCAATAGATATGTGGATAAGCAAAATGTGGTACATACAATAGAATATTATTCGGCCTCAAAACGGAAGAAAATCCTGACATGCTAAAACATGAATGAATCTTGAGAACATTATTATGCTAAGTGAAATAAGCCAGTCTAAAAAAGGCAAATACTGTATGATTTCACTTATCTGTGACATCCAGAGTAGCCAAATGCATAAAAACAGAAAGTAGAATAGGAGGTTTCCAGGGACTGGGAGTTAACATTTACTGGATATAGAGTTTCAATTTTGCAAGATAAAAAAGTTCTAGATACTGGTTGCCCAACAATGTGAATATATGTAACACTGCTGAACTGCACACTTAAAAACAGTTAAGACGGTAAATTTTGTCAGGTGTTTCTTACCACAATTAAAAAAATATGTTTTTAA